TTTTTTTATACCACATAAAACAAAACGCGCATCATACGTTAGGTAAACAAAATATTTTTCTTCATACGCCCATATATGCAAGGGATAAGTTAATTAACGCAGACATACGTTTACATACGAAGACCACTCGTAAAAGAAGCGTTCCATACACCACAAGTTCGTCAGTATTACGTTGCATATACGCTTTACAATACATACAGCGACCACTGTATTAGAAGCTTAACTGTGATTTTCCTTACCGTCAACTAAGTGCAGCCGTCGTATGCCCAGCATATCACAAACGTATGGATAACGTACGACTCATACGCACGTAAACGCTCAAAAATTTTACTTTCTTCTGCGTATGCAAACATACATCAACGTTTGCTTGCGTGCTTGAAATGTATACGACGTAACTCCAACGAACCCATTACGTTTGTCTGTGTATGAGCAATTTATTTCATACGAACGACACGCCTCGTCTCAAAAGTACTCACAATCACCAGCTTTTCTGTATTTTGCTAAATGCCAGGAGGAGGCGTGTTATTCAGTTAAGCTGATTGCAGTCAGTGAGAGTCCCCGTATAGTTGGGTCGATCCACCTATTCCGGTGGTACCTAAGGGAATGGTGCCTTGGTGTATTTTACCTGACCCAAAACAATGTTCCAGTGATTTTATACCCTCTACCAAGACCACGGACTGATTTTTCACTAGATATTCACAGATTATGTCTCTGGTAAAATTGACGGTGATTTTCTGCATTGTGAGAGAGAATCTCTGCGTCAGAGAAAAAGTCTACATAAATGGTACAGGGAAGTGATTTTATAAGACTGAGTCACGCCAAAAATTTTGAGCCCCTGATGTTACGAGTAGTTCTAAACATTTCTCCGGATCTTCATCGTAGCAGCTTGGAGTAGACACCCCCGATCACAGTTCGTATTAGTGATGGGAACGAATTTCATTCGTTTCTCTCGTCTTTCCGTCATATCGCAGTCGGGATAGTACCCCGTGAGATGCCACCGGGCACAATGGTTGAACCACCACCCCCCGCCTGAAAAGGGGGAAATGATCGCCAATCAGGTAATGTATTGCTGTATTGTAATTCCCGTATTAATATATCGGGACAGGGCGCAGGGACAACCAGCAGCGCCGCGCAGGGTAAGTAAACTAAGATTCCGGCGGCACTGTAGCAGTGACGTTCTGGTTCTATTGTGGTGTCAAAATATCTTTATATGATAAATCAGAGTTATTCTTTATTAGAATAATAGAAACTAAATAGAGTCGTACGCGACGTATCCATCCATTACACAGAAGAGCAGACATAGAAAACAGTCGCCGATGGAGATACAACTGTACAAAACAAGCATTGTGTTTTGAGACCAGGTTTGTTCTGGCACTGTTAAAAGGTGTGTTAAAAGCATCGCAATTACAATCCCTCTCACTGCATTGCACATACAATTTGGATTCATTTGAATTTCACGCATACATGGCATAGATATTTCAAGCGTTATTGTTTAATCATTTATTTGAAATCTTAATTTTTTAAATTACCCTTAATGTCTGTTAAGGGATTAGACAGCAAGCTTTTAAGTGGGTCGCCAAATCTGATCCTCGGACTAGTTGGTCCGCTGTTTTGAATGCGACCTAAAACATGGGACCACAACAACAATTTTTCATAGTTGGATAAGATTTTTAAAAAATTCATTTTTCCTAGGTCTTAAAAAGAAACAAGCTTACCTCTCTCCTCACTACAGTCACCAATGGGGACGTCGTACGTGCCAAATCTTCTGCCATGCACGTCATCAAGGTTAGAGTTAGAAGATGTGTTAAAAGATTCTACGCTGATAGCTTCTACGGCATACTTTTGGGTTTCGTTTTCAATCCGAAATAGGTTCCATCTGGCATAGTAGAAGTTTCCATTACAAGACAGCATGTCAATCTGCATGGAATAGTTTCCCTGATTGGTTAACGCGTGGAGAGCCTCGTTTCCCATCCAAAACTGGTCACGTGGATCACCGAAGCCATTTTTATACTCTGTCCAGTTTCTCTGAAAATCCATCGTACTGTTGTATCTTCGCATCACAATAATCCATCCGTTGTCGCAATAAACGTCCTTCATTCCAAATTTCTTTATTTGGATGGTAATCATTCCTCTGTAGTCTGTTAAGAAAACAACGTTTTATAAATGTTAGGGCTACATGTATAGTCTGTAGAGGATCTACATGAAACCCGCTAGTTATAGGGTCTATAAGAGTGTAGTGCATTTTGTCTGGTCGTTCAAGTGGACGAGGTCCAACAATTTTAAGTGCATATAAATACCAAATGGTCAACAGTTTCAAACTTTCATATTCGGCATTTCATTCATATTCGGCTGCTGCCATTTATTATTAGTGTACTTGCAAAAGGGGAAAACTCAATGGATACATGTACAAATACATCGTGGATTAAGTCAAAACAAACTTCGCGTAGCCCGAAGAAACCAGTTCGCAGCATAAACTTACCCGCCTCATTACAATCTGTTACTTCCTGAAACAGACATATTAAATACTTTAATATTATGCGGGTTATAAAAATATTATTGTATTTTGTTTCTCCTTTACTTCGGGTTCGCCTTTGCGGAATCTTGTCACTCGCTTAGTCTCTCATTTTAACTAAAGCCTGAGCCGACCACCCAGTACATGAATCTCTTTCCAACCACTATCCAGAGTTGTAATTACTAAAACGTATACGCTGTAATTAATATTCTTAAACACTGTATAAGTAGTAATCCATAGTGATGTATAACTATTTATTTATTTATATATTTGTAGTATAGAGGGCTAACAAATGTAACTGTCACATTTAATGCTCGAATAAATTATTATTATTATTATTATCATTATTATTATTATAAAACATAAATGAATTTTAATGTTAATATATTAAGAGAGTAACATTCATGTTAAAGAAAAGACCTCACCTCACCCCTGGACAAATGTGTGAAATATAAACCACTGTCATGCTGTACCAAATCGTTGCTTGCAGCTTTTCGGGTATACAGCTGGCAATTTTCTGTAACAGGTGGAAGTGCAAAAATATTTGGATTTGGTCTGGTTGATTTTTCGTTCGCATACAAACTGTAATAGTGACGATATCCTCACTTGAAACATGATCACACTAAATTCAAGATTTTTTTCTTTTTACAGAAATTGTTTTTAACAGAAAAAAGCACGGACACGTCTGTCACTATTTCAATGTATAGTTTTGCAACACGGGTTTCTGTTCAATGCAGGCGGTACTAGCCCCTTTAAATTTAATCACACTATAATTTTATTGAATAAGCTGTGCATCTTTCACAATATTTACCCTCTCCCCTTGGTGTGTTTTTATAAAAGTTACATGAACGGCATTCAGGCGTCCGGCTACACAGCACAGCGCAGGCTACGGGACTTCTAGAGCTGGCCGTCATCCAGGAAGGTGAGGTCAGAACGGCTCCCTTGGTCACTTCAAAATGATTGTACAACACTTGACCGACGCATCGTTGACCGGTCAAATATATCACCAAGATGAAAATGTTCCACAGACAATATTCTCGCTGACCAGTATCATGTCTGTCTTCCATTGTGTGGAAGATATCAATTTTTTCTCAGATTTTGAAGTGTTAGTTTGCTTGCAATTACTCATCTAATATGGAGGGTGTGTCTAGTTCCATGTATCTCAGAGATTACATCATTCTCACGAAGTCACATGGTTGTAGTAATCAATACTACTTCTTTGGCACTAGTGGGACGCATCAGCGATCGGAAGCTTCCTTAAGACTCTATAGCATCATCAATATTTTTCACAGCCTAAACAGTTCGCTGAAATGACTTCAGTGGAAGGTACTGTTCTCGTAACAATGTCTGTAATTTAACGCATATGCGTTCACTGAACCATTAAACAACTTGGGCGCCGTAAATGTATCAAATGCACGTAACCAGTTAAGATCATCTGACCTCACTTAGTACGACCAATCTCAGAGAGCCAGCCTACTTAGACGGGCAGTCACAGTTGGGTCGATCCATTTCAACTGTAAACGGGCCTTCAGTGACAGTGCATCAAAGCACAATGGACCCTAATGATATTGTGCCATGCGCAATGTAAACGACTCTACTTGTTCTGAACAATGACATAAATCGTTCATGTCGTCGGAATCATTACAGTTGAATTCTGAATACTATTATTTATTCTTCGTTTGTTAGTTTTGCCGAGTTTGTATTATATAAAACCAATGATTATATCATTTAAACTTCATATCTCTGCTTTGGTGCAAGAAAACATAGAGAAATATGATAACCGAATTCCGTGAAAAGTATTATTTTTGAATGTTTTCTACTGTTTATCAAGATTGAATATATCGAAGGAGAAACAGCCGGCACAACGTGTCTTTGAGGTGAATTCGCAACTAACAGAAGTTGCCGTGGTTTTTGCTCGACAGTAATTTCGTTCAGAAAGAGCACACAAATATCAATGTCATTTTACCCCACTCCACATCGCATGACCCCAAGGAGACTGTTCAGAAATTGAAGATGAACTCATCCAGCGTCAGTGAGAGGTGTTCATGGTATTTAAAATACTACAGAAATTGAGGCATTTTTGCTCTGTTTAATAATTACATGAAATCTTTGTGGCGAAGGGAGTCGCCGGGATATTCGTCACGGGGAAAGTAAAGATAATTATGCAATAAAGCTAATAAATTATCATAACAAAATGAAATTTAACTGAAAAGAAAGATGTAATTATTAAAGGTAGGGGTGCAAATGCGCCCCACCGATTAAAAGCTGAAGGGTGGGGGTGGTGGAAAAGAAAAGAAAGAAAATGAAAAAAGAGAGAGCAAAAACAAGAGACAACGTATGTAAGAATGAAAATAAGTGTAAGATTCAGAGTGCTTACCTGGGGATTCTTTTGTTACACAGGAATGAAAATACACCGACGAATTTTGATGTCAGTTCTAACAAGAAGTTATAAAGAAAAGGCCTTCTCTTTATAACTTCTTGGTTCTAACAAGCAGCAAGAGTTAGACTGGTCCTTGGTCACGTGTTATGCAAACTTGCTACTGATTGGTGCTAGATGGTGGCAGTGTATTATTTGGCATACTTTCCGAGAAAAGCTACTCCAACTTACATGTACATCATTAAAACACCCGTAAAACCGAATGAGAGAACCCAGAGAGATGTTTCGTTGAATAAACTTGTCTATACGTTCGCTGGTCAACTGTCGCCAATTTCTGGCGAAGTGTTTGACACATTTTGGCCATGATTTGTTATTAAGTATTTGTTGTGAACGAGCAGCTTGTGGGCGCTAAACATTTAATGTGGGACTGCAGCCAAACAAATTGTCAAGCCGAAACCACAGTTGTTCAGTGGAATTTCGGACGAAATGGGGTAAGGAATATAGTCACAGTTAGACAGGTGATAATTTCAAACCAAAATGAAAGGTATGTACTTTGTGTCATTTCTGATGAAGAGGTGGTTTTGAAACATGCTTATTACAATTTTAAATTCAATAGAAATAAATAGATCTGACCCACTTAGGTCAAACTAACCCTATTATAACTGTATGGAGGGCGGACTTTGTAACACGGACCCTCAGTTTCGTTACCCCGGTAATAAGAAGAGGATAGTATTGTTTTAATTTNTAAGGTTATCAATATATCGTTGTTGACATATATATATATTGCAAATGACTGAGTGTCTCTTTGTGAGTGAGTGAGTGAGTGAGAGAGTGAGTGTGATTTTTATTTAGTTATTTATAAATTTTGTATTTTTTGTTGAGATCTGTACTTATTTGAGATATGCAATAAAAAAAAAAAAAAAAAAAAAAAAAAAACAGGCCGGCTGAAGAACACGTAGCTGATCATGTCTGCCAAGCTTACATGTCCACTTATTAATTCACTAAATTTAATGTTATATTCAGATCAGAATTTGACACCGCCACCGGAAAGATATTTCGGTCTTTCTCTCCGCGCCCTATTGTACCTGGGAGACCAAGACAAGGAACAGAGTGATGACGTCATGACTAGGGTGAGAAAAGAACTGCAATAATCATTAATAATGATGATGATGATTGCATTTAGATAAAAAGATTGTAAATTATTACTTCATTAATTCTTTCCCGCATTTGTTATGTTAATATTCTGATGTAATTATTGTCAGAAGTTTTTTTCTCGACTTTGTGGATGTAAACTGCCGTCCTGAACCGTATGGCGTAAAACCTTGCATGTACATGTATATACAATTTACATCTGCACACGTGTCTTTTTTCCAGCCTGAAGATCAGCAGATAGTGTGTCCCCCCTGGTTTTATTCCTGATGCCCAGGGCTGCCGCCCCCTTCTGTACAATTTTACGGTAGTGCGGTCGTCCGTTCTCTTACATTTTGAACCGTGTGGCTGGGTTCCAACACCAAGAGATGACTGTGAAGATATTATACGAGATGGTCGGTTGGTAGCTGTACTGAGAGCTGTTCAGGCACGTGTTTATACCTGTAGTCAGAAACACGGCGCGGATAACAAGCCCATCGCCTTTGTCCTTGGAACAATGGTCACTCTTCGCGTGAGACTAGCCGACTACGAGGAAGGTCGCAACAGATTCGACCAAATACAAGCATGGATGGAAAACGCTCTACAAAACGTGCAGTTGAAGATTTCCGGAGGACCAGTGGGTATACGCTCAGGATCGTTCTCTGCCTGCATGAAGAACACAACGATCCACAGCTCCGTGCCGCCATTTTATGGAACGACCACTCTCTCAACCCCGAGCCAGAACCGAGGAACTAGTCCTGTCGGTAACGTTACACTTTTGATGTTAATGGCGCTGGTGGCAGCGGTGTGGGAGTTCTAACTATGGGTTAGATCATATAAGAATGATATAGGATTGGGCACTACTATGACTTATCAATAATTAGTCGGATATCAAAGATTTTTCATTGTTGTTTTGTAATTTATCGTTTTTAGTTATTGTAAAGTTTTTAAAATGCTTACAGTTTTACTATTCAGCAAAATTATTTTGAAATAGTTATGTGGACGTCATGACCCCCTCCAAGAAGCTTCCGTTTTTGCCCTTGGTTTGTTTGCAAGTCATATCCTAACTTAAAACGTCATGGGCCCATTCTGATTAACTGTTTAGGATAACTCAGAAATGGACCTGCTTAGAAGCGATTACATTTTGGTGGCGTGTACGCTGGCGGTACTCATGATTTTAGTCCCGACCTGTCTCGTACAGCTCCGCCGGCTCCTGCGGCTCCTGCGGCTCCGCAGGATGACGTGGGATACGTACAAGTCACCGTTACCGCTTCTCCTCCTAGACCGCAAGGACCTGTGTCCCCATCTCTTGGATTTAGGTCACATATAATCTCAACTTGAACCCCCAGGTTTTTTTTTGTCTCAGTCGGTGCATTGGCCTGGGCGTGACGCTCGTTAAAACGCACCCTTGTCAAAATTTTTGAAAATTCAATGCTAAATATCTCCCAAACGGATGGAATTATGGGAAAAATTTCTACAGATGGCTGACCGAAAGTCATATGTGAGGATTTCAAATATGCCCTTGGATTTGACCTTTGACCTTTATTTCAAGGTCAAACAGGCCAAAATTTTCTAAAAATGGGAATTTTTGTCGAGAAAAAATTTTTCAGCCGATTTTTAGAAACTAAACAGACCTTACCTATAATATTTATGGTCAGGTGTTACCCTAAGGGTCATCTTTCATTTTCATGAGTTTGGGGTCAATCGGTGCATTTTCTTGGTAGTAGCGGCCATTAGAAGCCAAAACTGAAAACTCTCTAATTATGGAACCGTTAATGCTAGAGACCTCTTGTGTTTTGCATTTTGTAGAACTTGTCAAGTGCAACACTGGTAGTGATGTCCATTTTTTTGTTTTCTATACGGCTTAAGCATTGCACTATATCAAAAGTTCAACATCCAATATTCAGTGGTGAAAATAAAATGTGAAATACTCAAAAATAAGCAGAGATACACCCATAGTTACTATTGAACTTGAATAGGAAGTCATATACTGGTAATGTAGCTGTGACCTTGAAATTGACCTTTGACCAAATTTTCACCATGAACTGAACTTTGCAAAATTTCCAGCCCTTATATCTCTAAAACTGGCAGAGATACGTCCATAGTTACAGTTGAACTTGAGTGGGAAGTCATATACTGGCATTCTAACTGTGACCTTGCAATTGACATTTGACCTACTTTTCACCATTAACTGAACTTTGCAAAATTTCTTTCTCTTATATTTCGAAAACTGGCAGAATTACACCCATAGTTACTATTGAACCTAAATAGGAAGTCATATACTGGCAATCTAACTGTGACCTTGAAATTGACCATTGACCTACTTTTTATGATGAACTGTACTTTGCATGTTTTCTGGCCTTTATATCTCCAAAATTGACAAAGGATTGCCCATAGTTACTATTGAACTTGAATAGGAAGTCATATATTGTGACCTTGAAATTGACCTACTTTTTCACCATGAACTGCAATTTGCATATTTTCTTGCCCCTCATATCTTCAAAACTAGCAGAGATATGCCCAGTGTTGCCCCTAGGTTTTCTCTTTTGTCAGCATATATGCAACACTGATAACACATTTCAAGGAAAACCAATAGGCCTATTGTCTAGAAAATCACAGGAGTGATCAGTGTTAGGAAAATACAGGTCCATTGGAAAATCCGCTTGATTGGACCATTTTTAGTTTTTTGCATGTTTTGAGAATTCTTTGCATGGAGTTTATTGCACAGAGCTTGTTAAGCACAAGACTGGTTGTGGTGTCCCCCTTTTTTTTTTGGGGGGGGGGGGGGAGTTTCCATTCGAATGCGTTTACTCCAGCTGGTGGTACAATATCCGGAGGCGGTATCGCCTCTCTGATCCTCTAGTATGATTAATTAATAATGAGAAGTAATCCGCATTTGGCGGTGGAGCGTTGCGGGATTTTTGGGTGCTCTTTAGTTTGGGTTATCATGACGCTTCATTCTGTATTCAGTTAGAATAATTCGTGCATGTAGCAGACTAGAGCTCTATACGAAAGGCCACATCAAAGTCCCTACATAGGCTCTTGCTTGACAGAGCAGATAAGTATATAGAATTGGCAAGAGGCAGATCCGTGAATTTCATTTCTAGTGAAATATCAATTTGTCGTCCAGGTAATGGGTAAAGGATTAGTTTTGATTCTCTATTTGATTCACTGTTATATATATATATATATATATATATATATATATATATATATATATATATATATATATATATATATACTGGTCACAGGTCTTGTGGCGTATGTTAGGTATTGTAAATGTTTATTGATCTTTGTGAGATAGTTTATCTACAACATGATTTTCTTCATTATTAAGTAATTTGTTATCAATTTGATGAATAAAAATTAGACGACTTAGAGGTCAATGATTTGCAAAAGGCAATGCATTAATTTCATGTACATGTAATTATGCATTCTCCTCAAATTTATTTTCAGAAACTGAACATATAGTATGAATTGCATCATCCACTGAACATTGTGTATGGATTTTTGATTAATCGATTATTTGATGATTGGTGTAAGGTACATTTAAGTCTATCTCGATTACATTACTTGATTTTAATTAAACATAAATTATAGTAGGATAATTTTTTATAAATCCTGGATTACTACGGCGAAAATTTTACATTACGCGCTAGAGCCGTGCCTTTTTTCCGACATAACCTTGAGGTCAAGTAAAAAGATTTTGCGTCTGAAAAATGAGAACACGAAGCCCTTTCAGTGTCAGTGGAGTTGCCGAACGCCTTTCCTTGAAGATTGATACATTGTCGGTGCACGATTTTTAGCACCCATGGTCAGAATAAAGAAGCACAGCACTTCTTTTTTCTAAGTGATTGACGCTAAGTTATTAACAACTTAATTTTGTTTGCTTAGATAATTACATTTGCCACGCGATGTCCCCACGTTACACATATACTGCGCATGCCCGTGATCACTTTCCTTTCGGCGTCTGGGCTAAATCGTGCGGCTTCACCGCTTCCATATGCTCTACAATTTTTTCAAGTTAAAAATGTTGACAACTTTTTTTTTGAAATTACAAGCCCGTAACATTATCGTAGTTGGCATTACACAGCTCCCGTGCGGACATGGTGCGGTGGACTTGCCGTGATGGTGATAATGGTGGAACCTGTTGTTGGACTGGTTCCTTCCGCCTTTGGTGGTTTAGGGGGATAACAACAGTCTCTCCCTATCTTCAAGTATCTTGTCTTTCTAGGACGTTGGCTGCCTTCTACCTCCACAGTTAAGTTGTTTAAGACTGTGTTATTCACTCGCATGGCTTTTAATTAGTGTTTTTATAATTCCGACTACGGGTGAAAAAAAAAAAAACGTAAGGGCGCAGCTGCACCGCCAACGTATCGATCTTCAAGATAAGAGGTTAATGTCGTACAGAAGGCAGCGAAGCTATCAGTAAGGACGTATATTGAATTTTTATTCAATATACGTCCTTGCTATCAGTAACCTGGGCTAAAGTTCTAGAATCCGGTGACTATTTTTCAATGTTGCGAATGACTAATGTTGTAAATGTTGTAAATTTGTCATGTTGTAAAGCAAAAGGTTACGGTAATCGTTTTGTTAATCGGAAATTAGCAGAATTTGATTGAAATTCGGTAAACTGAAATTTCGAAAGTTAGTAAGTTCAAGCATTATTTTGTTAGGAAACAACTACCTGTACTACGAAAATTGCATTTTTTTATTACGCAGAAATGGAAATCATTAATGTCTCAAGAATTGGGTTAATTGTTTGGCTTCACAATCAAAAAGAAAATGTTCATGACGTTAATAACGTTGGAGGATTACAATTTTGAATGCATTCCCAGTTTGTTGAAATAAAATTTAAAACATCTCATTTTGGATATGGAAAAAATAAAAACCAGTTAACCTACTTATTGTTATTTTATTTCTTTGCATGTAATTGACGTTGAAGAGGGGGCGAGATGGTAAAGGTTATATATTTTAGATATGCAGTTTAGTTTGATAAAGCGTGAAATAGTGTCAAGTGGAAGTTGACGCTAGAAAGACAATGTACTCTGAATGTTCCATTACTGGTATGCAAGGAATGAAGTACAATCTATCGGTAGTAAATATATACTGTGTCAAAACGAAACAACATTGAATGAAAAAAATATTTCATAAAAAATTTAACAACACTGTATGAAAAAAAAACATTGCATAAAATTTGAAACAACATTGGCATGGAAAAAAAAACAGAATAATGCATAAAAATTTGAAAAAAAAACGTGAAAAAATATTGCATAAAAAAAAACGAAACAACACTGAATTAAAATAAAAATGTATTGCATGAAAAAATGAAACAACATTTAATGAAGCAATTTTTTTCGTAAAAAAATGAAACAACATTGAACGAAAAAAAAAGGAATATTGCATAAAAATTTGAAACATTGAATAACAAAACTTTAAATTAAATGAAAGATATATTTATTGAATATTGCAACACATCTCATGCCATACTTGTCCTTTATGCATCAAACTTAAATTCGGGTATAGATAATTAAAGAATCCCCGATGAGACAAAATCGATACTCTTTGTTGATGTAGTTACCGGATTTTAATTAAACAACATGTGTTAATGTTCATATTAGCTTAACATGCAATATTTTTTATCGAACGACATACTTTTGCGGTAAATTGTCTTACATATAAAAACTAGAAAAGCACTCCGAGAGCGCAGATCACCGCCAAGGCACTACTGGCTTCCTGATCGCGGTCTAAGTTGGGTCGATCCATCAAAACTGTAAAAGGGCCTTTATTGACAGTGCTTCAAAATACAATGTACCATAATGATGTTCTTCCACGCGTAATTTTAATTATTCTGCTTTATTCCTGACATTAATGAAGGAATTGTTTATTTTGTTGATGAGCACGTTACAGTAGAATACATACTCATTTTTTTCTTTTTATATGCTTAGACCGCACTATATAATATCAACGATTAACTTTGCTAATCTGAGAGCTACCGATAAATACAATGGGTCTTGAATTGAAAATGTTTGCAAGGGATATAACAGAACCAACTTTACTGAGAGGTTGCTTTTGCTGTGGTTCAGATATGACGCATGTGCCATCCGGCTCTTTGTGTCGGACCTGATTGATATCTGGGTACACTTATCTTGTTAATGAATCTATTGAGTCTGTCTAACACCGAATTGAGGACGAATGTAATCATAAATTCATTTCTTCTGGTGAATTTAGGATAAATATGTGTCTTTTGTCAAACCACAACGGCGTGAAGCCATTGTGATTGCTACAATGTTAAATAATAGGCATATTTTTGAAAACGGAGTTTTGTGTTTGTACATGTTCTTCTTCAAACATAACCGGTGTATTGTTGTAAGAGAACTGATACACCATAATGGTCTAAAGCTATATACATAAATCATACCATGTGCAATGATGATAGGGATCAGTGGTGGACAATAACTTAAAAATGGGAACCTCAAATGAAACGAATACATAAAAGAAAAATATATCCATACTGTAATTATCAACTATGTAATGCATATATGCTGTCCCCACCCGTCTTTTTTGTCATGCAGAAATTAACAATATGAAGACACAGATGAGCGTTAGAGGCTTAGAGTTGCACTCTCTACCAGAGGTCCTAGCTGTTATGGAACTGGACGAAGAGGGTACAGGAGCGGTCCAACGGGTAATAAACAGTCACGTGCAAAGAACATGGTCCGTTTATCATACTAAACATTTCGCCGAATCTTCATCGTAGCGGCCTGGAGTAGACACCCCCGATCACAGTTTCTACCGGTGATGGGGGAGAATTTCATGCGTTGCCTCTGGTTTGACGTCATGTTGCATTCGGGATAAAACGCTGTAATGTGATCATGACCACAACTGCCCCACCACCATCCTCCACCTGAAAGGAGCAAATAAGCAAAAAATTGAATATCTGTGAATATTTTCGTCTCTCAATACGGTCCGATACACAATTAAAGCAAATAATAACTAGAAACTCCGAGAGCGAAGACCTCCGCCAGGGAAGCTCAACTCTCGTCATTAATAATAATATTTCGACCAGATAATTATGCATGTGTACATGCGTATACTGTATACTGTAAGCAAATGCACCAAAGATATGGTTATAACGTTCAGTGCAATTAAGAATTTATAAAAAATAAAAAATAAATAACTGACAAGAACGATACAACAGGCTATCGAGCAACTATAAGACCATGACGCCTGCTCTTAAACAATCTATATAATCATATGTAATATTAGGATGGTGCCTTAAAATTTCAGCAGGCCTTTGATTGTCAGTTGCTTTCCCAGTACGTGCGCTATCTAATATAATTTCTAGAAAAAAGTACGTTACAATACCATAATTCATACACGTACCCCGGTCCTGACTGCAGTTTGCAATGGGAACGTCATACGTGCCGAATTCCCTGCCATACAACTCCATAAGTTTTGTGTCAGAAGAAACATTGTGCGACTCCACGCTGATAGCTTCTACTGCATACTTTTGGGTTTCGTTTTCGATCCGAAATAGGTCCCATCGGACGTAGTAGGAGTTTCCATTACAAGACAGCATGTCAATCTGCATGGAATAGTTCCCCTGATTGGTTAACGCGTGGAGAGCCTCGTTTCCCATCCAAAACTGGTCACGTGGGTCACCAAAGCCATTTTTGTACTCGGCCCAGTTCCTGTGAAAATCCATCGTACTGTTATACCTTCTCATCACAATAATCCATCCGATGTCGCAATAAACGTCCTTAATTCCAAATTCGGTTATTTGCATGGCAACCATTCCGCTGTAATCTGTCAACAGAAATCACCATGACCAATATTTTTAAATGGGACTTAAGGAGTTACAACTCCTGTTTCAACTGCACTACAGTGAAATGCATTTTGTTTGATGGGTAATGCGAATATATATGTAGCTAACATATCAATGGCATAAAATAACATGGTCAACAGTTTCAAAAATTTACGTCAATTATCTAATACATGCACACTGTAGCTACTAACTATCAAGTGTTGTGGAATTATCGCTTCAAAGGAAAAAATGGAGGTGGCTCAAAAAACTAAATAGGTAATTCACAGCCGTAACTTACCTGGATCATCACAATCTGTTACTACCTAAAACAGATAAAACTGTTTTATAATACCGTTTTTTTTGTTAATAGGATTAAGAAAAAATCTTTAATATTTTGCTTCTCTTGCAGAGTCATTTTACTCAAGATCAATGTATGTTTCTTTTCAACTAAGGCATGGGTCAATCATCCTTCTCCTGCCAGGTACTGTCACCGAGTTGTAAGAAGCAACAGGGGCAGATCCAGAATTATTTGAGGGGGGGGGGGGCTTTTTTAAGGAATGGAAGCCCCCTCCCCTCCCCCTTGTCAATGATCCCGAAAAAAATGTGTTTTGGAGGGCAAACGGTGCCATTTGGTACGGTTTAAAACTATGAATCAGCTAGTCAAATTTCAAGAAGGGATATTGATGTGATTTTTTTCAGAAACCGAAGAGGGGGGGGGGGGAGGGGGCAAGACATCTTTGACACCCCACCCACTAAATCCGCCACTGTGCAATAAGAAAACTAATTTTTTGATGAGCCTTGTTACAAAATAGCACGCATGTTGTTAGAAACAGGATCTCACCTCCTCCTTAGGCTTGTACGTTAAATATAAGCCGCTGTCATTGTGAACCAAATCAGTGCTTGCAGCTCTTTGGGTATTCAGTTCGCAATTTTCTGTAACAGGTAGAAATGCAAAAATATTGGTAAAGGATCTAGGTAATTTTTCGTTTTTATAAGAATTTTCATGCCCTTACTTTAAACATGTAGATGAGCGAAATTCATGAAAATGAAAGGGAAGATTTTTCTCTACACTCCCTCAAAAATTTCATTTTATATGAAAACGGTTTTTATCATCTAAATAGCTTTGCTTTGGTTTCTTCAAATAAAAAAAATGTCGGATTTGTTTATTTGGGGATGAGTGGTTCCCGCCCCGGTAATTTTAGTCTTGAATGCGCTGAACAACTTTCAAAACACTTACCTTCTCCCCTTGGTGTGTTTCTATAGAAGTTACATGAACGGCATTCAGGCATCCGGCTGCACAGCACAGCGCAGGCTACGGAACTTCTAGAGCTGACCGTCTTCCAGGAAGGTGAGGCCAGAATGGCTCCCTTGGTCACATCAAAATGGTTGTACAACACTAGACCCACGCATCGTTGACCGGTCAGATATATCACCAAGATGAAAATGTTGCATAAACGATATTCTCGCTGCCGGGCCATATACTTGGTTCTGCATTAAGAATGTGGACGATGCCTACTCTTTTTATCTCGGGATAGAAAGTTTGCTCTCAATCAATCATCTAATGGACACTTGATTTTTACGTTGCACCATTGTACCTAAGTATTTGAAGCTTATACGTGTACTCTCCTGGTACCACTGGGACGCAATGAGCAGCGTTTGGCATGCAAAACATTGCTAAGGTAACCGTTTATTTTGTCGATGAGCCCATAACAGCAATACACTATTCATTATTCCACATGTATTATTTTGCGGAGTCCTTTTTATAATCCACTATGTGAACTGTCGATATCTGTTTTGGTGCAGGAAATGTTTGTGAGGGAAATAACAGAGCCATATTGAGTTGCTTTTGCTGTGTTACAGAATGACGCATGTCCCCACCGGGTCTTTGTGTCTGGGTTGATGTACAGGGTTTGTCTAGATGCGCTCATATTTTTAAATGAATATATCGATGTCAGTCCTTTCAAGAGATATCAATACTTTATAAAGGCCGTCATTTGTGAAAATATAGTTTTTTCTTTAATATATTTAATAATAATAATATATTTATTTAAAGTCTAAAATCCATAAAATATGTTCTGTAGACTTTACAAACTAAAAACCTAAAACACAGTAAGATGAATTGAATTAGGCCCCCTAATAAAATTATGACTTAATAGTCTGAGTTAAGATAATGATGCCCAGTTAATATTTCCGAGTTATAAAATGTTCTTTAATAAAATTTGTGAAAAAGGTATGTTTTTAAAGCTTTTTTAAAATCCTTCACTGAGCTAATGCTTCTCAAGTCTAGAGGTAATTTATTCCACTCATGTGGTGCTGCGTACTGGAATGATTTTTCGCCAAAAGATTTTAGTCTTGCGTTCTGTGGTTTTAGTAATAATTGATCCTTAGATCTTAAGGTACGGTTTGGTGTGTAATGAGATACAAGATCACAAATAAAATCTGGTGCAAGTCCGTAAAAAGCCGCATGAGCATGAGTTAAAAGTTTGAATAAGATCCGGGCGTTTACAGGTAGCCAGTGAAGTTGTTTTAATATCGGTGTCATGTGATTCTCCATAGAAGTTCGGGTAAGAAGACGTGCTGATATATTTTGAATGCGTTGGACTTTCTTTGTTCTTTCTATGCCGCATCCATAAAGCAAGGAGTTACAGTAATCAAGCCTTGATGTTACTAGGGCATGAATGACCGTGGCAGTGGCAGAATCTGTTAAATTATTTCGTAGGGAACTGATGTTTCTTATGTGATACAAACAAGATTTTTTCACGTTGGCTATCTGCTTGTCCATGTTTAAAGNGAATGAATTTCGTATGTGAAATCGATTATAAGCACAATTTTGAGCGTAGGAAATCATCTTTTTTACAGCGTATGAGAAAAAAAGGCGTAGGGTAGCATATCTACATGGTGTACCTTGCGTTTGAATATCGTATTAGTGAAACACGATATAAGCGTATGTAATCGCAATTAGGGGGACATGTATATGTTCGTTTGAGAAACGGATGAGAACCGTATGTGTGGGTTTAATTAACGCATATGAGTACTTGATTAGCACATATGATCTTGGGCGTTTAATAAAGGTTCGAGTAACGCAAATGAGCGTATGAGTAATATGTGCGAAGTGTACCTGTACTTTTCTTTTGTTCACAGCAATGAACTGGATCAGATCCAACTCTTAAAAATAGATACTTCCATTATCTCAATCTGAAACGTTTGCGAAAAAGATGTGGGCAATGGATTCTTTTTTTTTATACCACATAAAACAAAACGCGCATCATACCTTAGGTAAACAAAATATTTTTCTTCATACGCCTATATATGCAAGGGATAAGTTAATTAACGCAGACATACGTTTACATACGAAGATCAATCGTAAATAAACGTTCCATACACCACAAGTTCGTCAGTATTACGTTGCATATACGCTTTACGATACATACAGCGACCACCGTATTAGAAGCTTAACTGTGATTTTCCTAAGCGTCAACTAAGTGCAACCGTCGTATGCCCAGCATATCACAAACGTATGAATAACGTACGACTCATACGCACGTAAACGCTCAAACATTTTACTTTCCTCTGCGTATGCAAACGTACACCAACGATTGCTTGCGTGCTTGAGATGTATACGACGTAATTCCAACGAACCCATTACGTTTGTCTGTGTATGAGCAATTTATTTCAAACGAACGACACGCCTCGTCTCAAAAGTACTCACAATCACCAGCTTTTCTGTATTTTGCTAAATGCCAGGAGGAGGCGTGTTATTCAGTTAAACTGATTGCAGTCAGTGAGAGTCCCCGTATAGTTGGGTCAATCCACCTATTCCGGTGGTACCTAAGGGAATGGTGCCTTGGTGTATTTAACCTGACCCAAAACAAAGTTCCAGTGATTTTATACCCTCTACCAAGACCACGGACTGATTTTTCACTAGATATTCACAGATAATGTCTCTGGTAAAATTGACGGTAATTCTCTGCATTGTGAGAGAGAATCTCTGCGTCAGAGAAAAAGTCTACATAAATGGTACAGGGAAGTGATTTTATAAGACTCTGAGTCACGCCAAAAATTTTGAGCCCCTGATGTTACGAGTAGTTCTAAACATTTCTCCGGATCTTCATCGTAGCAGCTTGGAGTAGACACCCCCGATCACAGTTCGTATTAGTGATGGGAACGAATTTCATTCGTTTCTCTCGTCTTTCCGTCATATCGCAGTCGGGATAGTACCCCGTGAGATGCCACCGGGCACAATGGTTGAACCACCACCCTCCGCCTGAAAAGGGGGAAATGATCGCCAATCAGGTAATGTATTGCTGTATTGTAATTCCCGTATTTATATATCGGGACAGGGCGCAGGGACAACCAGCAGCGCCGCGCAGGGTAAGTAAACTAAGATTCCGGCGGCACTGTAGCAGTGACGTTCTGGTTCTATTGTGGTGTCAAAATATCTTTATATGATAAATCAGAGTTATTCTTTATTAGAATAATAGAAACTAAATAGAGTCGTACGCGACGTATCCATCCATTACACAGAAGAGCAGACATAGAAAACGGTCGCCGATGGAGATACAACTGTACAAAACAAGCATTATGTTTTGAGACCAGGTTTGTTCTGGCACTGTTAAAAAGTGTGTTAAAAGCATCGCAATTACAATCCCTCTCACTGCATTGCACATACAATTTGGATTCATTTGAATTTCACGCATACATGGCATAGATATTTCAAGCGTTATTGTTTAATCATTTATTTGAAATCTTAATTTTTTAAATTACCCTTAATGTCTGTTAAGGGATTAGACAGCAAGCTTTTAAGTGGGTCGCCAAATCTGATCCTCGGACTAGTTGGTCCGCTGTTTTGAATGCGACCTAAAACATGGGACCACAACAACAATTTTTCATAGTTGGATAAGATTTTTAAAAAATTCATTTTTCCTAGGTCTTAAAAAGAAACAAGCTTACCTCTCTCCTCACTACAGTCACCAATGGGGACGTCGTACGTGCCAAATCTTCTGCCATGCACGTCATCAAGGTTAGAGTTAGAAGATGTGTTAAAAGATTCTACGCTGATAGCTTCTACGGCATACTTTTGGGTTTCGTTTTCAATCCGAAATAGGTTCCATCTGGCATAGTAGAAGTTTCCATTACAAGACAGCATGTCAATCTGCATGGAATAGTTTCCCTGATTGGTTAACGCGTGGAGAGCCTCGTTTCCCATCCAAAACTGGTCACGTTGATCACCAAAGCCATTTTTATACTCTGTCCAGTTTCTCTGAAAATCCATCGTACTGTTGTATCTTCGCATCACAATAATCCATCCGTTGTCGCAATAAACGTCCTTCATTCCAAATTTGTTTATTTGGATGGTAATCATTCCTCTGTAGTCTGTTAAGAAAACAACGTTTTATAAATGTTAGGGCTACATGTATAGTCTGTAGAGGATCTACATGAAACCCGCTAGTTATAGGGTCTATAAGAGTGTAGTGCATTTTGTCTGGTTGTTCAAGTGGACGAGGTCCAACAATTTTAAGTGCATATAAATACCAAATGGTCAACAGTTTCAAACTTTCATATTCGGCATTTCATTCATATTCGGCTGCTGCCATTTATTATTAGTGTACTTGCAAAAGGGGAAAACTCAATGGATACATGTACAAATACATCGTGGATTAAGTCAAAACAAACTTCGCGTAGCCCGAAGAAACCAGTTCGCAGCATAAACTTACCCGCCTCATTACAATCTGTTACTTCCTGAAACAGACATATTAAATACTTTAATATTATGCGGGTTATAAAAATATTATTGTATTTTGTTTCTCCTTTACTTCGGGTTCGCCTTTGCGGAATCTTGTCACTCACTTAGTCTCTCATTTTAACTAAAGCCTGAGCCGACCACCCAGTACATGAATCTCTTTCCAACCACTATCCAGAGTTGTAATTACTAAAACGTATACGCTGTAATTAATATTCTTAAACACTGTATAAGTAGTAATCCATAGTGATGTATAACTATTTATTTATTTATATATTTGTAGTATAGAGGGCTAACAAATGTAACTGTCACATTTAATGCTGGAATAAATTATTATTATTATTATTATTATTATTATTATTATTATAAAACATAAATGAATTTTAATGTAAATCGATCTATTAAGAGAGTAACATTCATGTTAAAGAAAAGACCTCACCTCACCCCTGGACAAATGTGTGAAATATAAACCACTGTCATGCTGTACCAAATCGTTGCTTGCAGCTTTTCGAGTATACAGCTGGCAATTTTCTGTAACAGGTGGAAGTGCAAAAATATTTGGATTTGGTCTGGTTGATTTTTCGTTCGCATACAAACTGTAATAGTGACGATATCCTCACTTGAAACATGATCACACTAGATTCAAGATTTTTTTCTTTTTACAGAAATTGTTTTTAACAGAAAAAAGCACGGACACGTCTGTCACTATTTCAATGTATAGTTTTGCAACACGGGTTTCTGTTCAATGCAGGCGGTACTAGCCCCTTTAAATTTAATCACACTATAATTTTATTGAATAAGCTGTGCATCTTTCACAATATTTACCCTCTCCCCTTGGTGTGTTTTTATAAAAGTTACATGAACGGCATTCAGGCGTCCGGCTACACAGCACAGCGCAGGCTACGGGACTTCTAGAGCTGGCCGTCATCCAGGAAGGTGAGGTCAGAACGGCTCCCTTGGTCACTTCAAAATGATTGTACAACACTTGACCGACGCATCGTTGACCGGTCAAATATATCACCAAGATGAAAATGTTCCACAGACGATATTCTCGCTGACCAGTATCATGTCTGTCTTCCATTGTGTGGAAGATATCAATTTTTTCTCAGATTTTGAAGTGTTAGTTTGCTTGCAATTACTCATCTAATATGGAGGGTGTGTCTAGTTCCATGTATCTCAGAGATTACATCATTCTCACGAAGTCACATGGTTGTAGTAATCAATACTACTTCTTTGGCACTAGTGGGACGCATCAGCGATCGGAAGCTTCCTTAAGACTCTATAGCATCATCAATATTTTTCACAGCCTAAACAGTTCGCTGAATTGACTTCAGTGGAAGTAACTGTTCTCGTAACAATGTCTGTAATTTAACGCATGCGTTCACTGAATCATTAAACAACTTGGGCGCCGTAAATGTATCAAATGCACGTAACCAGTTAAGATCATCTGACCTCACTTAGTACGACCAATCTTAGAGAGCCAGCCAAATTAGATGGGCAGTCACAGTTGGGTCGATCCATTTCAACTGTAAACGGGCCTTGAGTGACAGTGCATCAAAGCACAATGGACCCTAATGACATTGTGTCATGCGCAATGTAAACGACTCTACTTGTTCTGAACAATGACATAAAAATCGTTCAGGTCGTCGGAATCATTACAGTAAAATTCTGAATACTATGATTTATTCTTCGTATATTAGTTTTGTCGAGTTTGTATTATATAACACCAATGATTAAATTATTTAAACTTCATATCTCTGCCTTGGTGCAAGAAAACATTATAGAGAAATATGATAACCGGATTTATTAGAAAAGTATTATTTTTGAATGTTTTCTACTGTTTATCAAGATAGAATATGTCGAAGGAGAAACAGCCAGCACAACGTGTCCTTGAGGTGAATTCGCAACTAACAGAAGTTGCCATGGTTTTTGCTCGACATGTACAGAGTTATTTCGTTCAGAAAAAGCACATAAATATCAATGTCATTTTACTCCACTCCACATCGCATGATCCCAAGGAGACTGTTCAGAAATTGAAGACGAACTCATCCAGCGTCAGTGAGAGGTGTTAATGGCATTTAAAATACTACAGAAATAGAAGATTTTTTTTCTCTGTTTAATAATTGCATGAGAACTTTGTCGCGAAGGGAGACACTGGGATATTTGACACGGGGAAAGTAAAGATAATTATGCAATAAAGCTAATGCATTATAATAACAGTGTGAAAATCAACTGAAAAGAAAGATGTTATTATTAAAGGTAGGGGTGCAAATGCGCCCCACCCATTAAAAGCCGAAGGGTGGGGGTGGTGGAAAAGAAAAGAAAGAAAATGAAAAGAGAGAAAGCAAGAACAAGAGACAACGTATGTAAGAATGGCAATAAGCGTAAGATTCGGAGTGCTTACCTGGGGATTCTTTTGTTACACAGGAATGAAAATACACCGACGAATTTTGATGTCAGTTCTAACAAGCAGCAAGAGTGAGACTGGCCCTTGGTCACGTGTTATGGAAACTTGCTACTGATTGGTGCTAGATGGTGGCAGTGTATTATTTGGCATACATTCCGAGAGAAGGTACTCCAACTTACGTCATTAAAACATCCCTAAAACCTAATGAGACCACCCAGAGCGATGTTTCGTTGAATAAACTTGTCTATACGTTCGCTGGTCAACTGTCGCCAATTTCTGGCGAAGTGTTTGACACATTTTGGCCATGACTTGTTATTAAGTATTTGTTGTGAATGAGCAGCTTGTGGGCGCTAAACATTTAATGTGGGACTGCAGCCAAACAAATTGTCAAGCCGAAACCACAGTTGTTCAGTGGAATTTCGGACGAAATGGGGTTAGGAATATAGTCACAGTTAGACAGGTGATAATTTCAAACCAAAATGAAAGGTATGTACTTTGTGTCATTTCTGATGAAGAGGTGGTTTTGAAACATGCTTATTACAATTTTAAATTCAATAGAAATAAATAGATCTGACCCACTTAGGTCAAACTAACCCTATTATAACTGTGTGGAGGGCGGACTTTGTAACACGGACCCTCAGTTTCGTTACCCCGGTAATAAGAAGAGGATAGTATTGTTTTAATTTTAATTAATTTCACTTTAGATAATAAAATAATAGATAATCATAAGACATCTTATCGTTAAGTCGTATAAGCAATAGGAAATTGAAAACGTTAATAGGTTTAATTTCAAGTAAAATAGCACATAAAAGAGAAATGAAAACAAGTCGTTTTGAACTTTCTTTTATTATGTATAAAAGGTCTCCATCCGTCCCTAATGAAGAATTTAACAAAATGAACAGCACAGATAAGTACCATACCTACCTAGGTTCCATTGTATTGTTAAATTATTAACGCACCCATCCCCTTCCCCCCGAAGTGCCCAGAGTGCCCCCCCCCCCTCCTCCTAAAATTAACCATTTTAAAATAAAAGAGAAGTTTCCCTCGTTCAATTTCTTCTCTCCCAACTTCACAACTGTTCTTTATTTGAGGCCTTCAGCATACCCCCCTCCCTCCCCCAGGGAAACACCCTCCCCCCCCCTTTCCCCCAATAAACAGGTTGACATACGGTGCACAACTTAAAACGACTACGGCTTACAGTTGGATCAGCCCCTGAGATATTAACATCTTTTCAGCATTTAAGTGTACACTGGGCCGTGCTTTTAGCCTTCCGAGACATTTGTGGGGAGTCCTATATTACAGTGTGTCAATTATATAATAAATAACGCTCCCACAGTTATTCTTGGGGTAAGGATCAAATTGGTGTCCAAAAACTGGGTCTCATGTTTAGGTCCACCCCCGAACAACTGAAAATGACATCACAATTCTCTTACTTAGACAACATAGTTCTCACATAGAAGAAGCTTCAGTCCCTTTAAATTCAGCTCATACTGTGCCTTTTGCTCCACATTTTGCACACTTTTTGAACAGTTCTGACATTTTTGCACTGTGTCTGATGCTACACATAGCATTCAAATCATTGCTGCAACTCAGTTTATAAATGAACTTTGTAGTTTTTTCCTGGCAACTCAGGATTGTCCCGTTTCATCATTTTCCACCAAGCGAGAATGAGAGTCGAGGTCTGGCGTTCTTTTTGTTTAGTATAACCTCCTGTTCCTTCTTAACTTTCTGTTTCTGTTCGTCTTCTAAACGCTGACGTTCTTCTAACATTTTGCGCTGTTCTTCAACAAGTTTCAGTTGCTCTTCAGCCTTGAAATTAAAAATAATAATAATAATAATTAAATAAATTAATAACAATAAGTACAGACATTACTGAAAGAAATGCTTCTTAATAATGTACATGTTACATGTGGCTTAGCAAGGAGATTAAAAAAAAACTTCTAAAATTATTCATTGTGGGGTATTAATATCGGAGTTAAATACTAACTAGAATCACAGCTTGTAAACACTTGAAGATTGTAAAATGTTGATGACCTTGTGAAAATTAATTAGCTTATCTATACAATAATTCATATTTTTATCAATTAATCACTTTTTGCATTATAATCTTGCATAATATTTCCTTAAACCCTGTCTTGCAATTTATGCAGATTTATACTATTTTAAAGCTTATCTAGTAGACAAACAAATCTCTTCCAGCTTCAATCCTTATGTTTCAGTTATTTCAACTGCGAAAGACAGGGATGAGTAAGAAAGTCAGAAAATATGGCTCGGGGTGCAAAGGGCCACCTAGGCCAATGATATTTTGGGCTCCCATAAAGTCTGAAATCCACTGATAGTCTAAAAAAAAAAAACTCATCCCTGAGTAAAGCACATGGAATAATGACTAAAATGCACTCACCAGTTTTCTTTGTGCTTCTTCAACTTTTCTATTATTCTCTTTCATAATATTTTCCAGCTCTTCCCGTTTGCGGCGTTCCTCCTCCTACAAATATGTCGATAATGGTAATAACATGGCATGTGGTTGAAAATTCTCCCACTTTACTACTGACCATAAATTAAAAATAATAAATATCTAGATAAGCTCACAAATAAAGCAAAATATTACCATTTCCAAAGGAACATTTTCTAAATGTTTAAGTACCCCTCCCCCCTTATCTCACCACATATTAATATAAGTACTAATTCAAAGTCTATATAAAAACCTATAACAATATATACATATAAAAATACATACAAAAATATGTCATATATGTAACTGGAATATACATTCAGTAGGGAGGCAGCCACATAACTGCCACATATGCATACACTGACACTCACAGTGCAGCATCCAAATATGAGGGCAACACTTACTGGAGATTTTGCACCAGTGATTGAGAAAATAAAATACATTTTTTTCCAAAATTTGTTAGCATTGAGTCATGACAAAAGACAAAGATTATTTTTGAAATTTAGATAAAAATGAAAAAAAAAAAAAAAAAATCACATATTTTGTCAAAACATTACAGAAATGTTTTTGGTAATTCAAAATTTACAGCAGCTCCAAGGTGTAAATCTCTGTGTCAAAATATTCCTGCCCAACTCACAGTGTGACTTATCATATGTGGATGCCGTTGTAGTCATATACCTCACCCAGTCCAAGCTTACGTAAGTAGTTTGACTCGTGTGTCGTACGTACGTAAAATCTTCTCTAGTCTCCGCATGCTGCAACCATACTGAGCAAAACTTGTGGAGTTAAATGTCCAATTAACACAAAGTTCATCAGAAAACTGATCATTCAAATTACACAGGGTGGGGGGCAGTCAGACAAATGAAAATCTGACCTCCCACCCCTCAATGGTCAACCTGACCAATAAACTGACCAATGGACTTACCACATTGGTCACACACAGACCAAAACACATTGTTATACTGTGACCATAGTAACTTGCAATGTGCCATAGCAACTGACCATAGCAACAATGCATATAAAAACAAATTGATACTTGCAGCACAGTGGGCCACCCTAGCTCTGTGCAGTAGACTGCTTGGTGAAACACCTAAGGATAAAATAGGGTTAATGCAAGAAAAACAAAACAAGAGATAATATTTATGCTAATGGGAATGTTACAGAATTCATTTATCACAAACAGTTGGTTTACAAGTCCTGGCCTTACGCTTGAAAACTGGTTGCTAGAAGAGAAATGGCCAAAGACAATGAAGTCTGCTTTTGTGCGTTGGAATTGTTCAGTCCAAGGGATAAACTAGTTGTCCTTTGATGCATGAAAGTGTACATTTCAAATGCTACTTTGTAAGCTGTAACTCTCAAAGATGAAAGTGAAACTTTCAAAAAAAATTCTGGAAATGCAAGTGCCATATGGGGGTCCAGGGGGCATATATATATATATATATATAACACACAAACATCCAAATTTCTGGTAATATCCGATGTTTGAGTTATCTTTCAAGGTTAAAAGCATGCAATATGACTTGTACACCCTTTCCCCTCCCCCACCCCCACACCATCAAACAAACAACAAAGATATTACACTGTAGACAATACATTCTTGAACTTATTTGTTTAGCTTCAAAATACCTTTTTACATTTAGGAAAATGATTGAGTAGTATAGAAGCAAGTAATATCAGAGGCAAACATAAACATGTCAAAGAACAAAGGGTAAGAAAAACAACAATTAAAAAAATGTAAAAAAAAAAAATAAAAACTTTCTGCATTTCAAATTCCTTTTAAAATCTTAACCAAGTGAGCCAGTTACACTAGTAGAGAACAGAGCAAGGCAGCTCATACTGCTAGTCAATAAGGAAAGGGGTGAAAAAGAAATGACGAGGGGCGAGGAAAGGGGAGGGGATAGGTCTGGCAGAACAACAGCAGTTTTTGGGCATCTTTTTTCAAGCAGCCAGTCTCGTTGCACTTTCACGGCCAGTACTTGAAGGAAGGTGGTGGCACATTGCACAGCTGTTACGAAATTAAGGACTGCTCCCATGTTTTTTTCATATAGAATTCATGTGACTAGCTGAACTTGGCTAGTGTCATACATTCTACATCAGCAGTTTCATGTTACATGTGTTTGTTGGAATATGTCACAGACATTATCATCTTTTATGTTATTCTCACTTTCGATTTATGTTATATACAATCCATGATTTCATATCCTAGCTGCTTCTTTACTCAAGTTTTTCAATGTTTAAGTGCCTAAATTGCTTCTCTTTCATTGGCTTTTTCAGACTTTTCAGTACTGAAAACCAATGCCTGAGACTGAGTAACCAAAATGAGCCCCATATGCAAAGAGATATGATTGGGTCAGAGAAAAAAAAAAATCCCTGAAATCTGGGAAAGAATGTCATCCCTGCCTCCTAAAGCAGTTTAAAAGAAACTAAGCTTATCATTCTAAATACAACTTAAGGTACAACTATACAATACTTGACTCAGGATTTAATCTACTTTGCTAACTTCACTGGCTGTGACTGTGTGATGAAATATTGGGGGTCTCTGTCACATTGTTATCTGATGTCCCCGCGTGGGATGTGCCACCACCCCCCTAAACAAACTTCAGAACTTAGCAGTACCTCTTTACGCTTTTGTGCCTCCACTTCCGCGGCCCTCTGTTTCTCCATTTCTTCTAACATCTGTTTCTCCATGATGCGCTTTGCCTCTTCTACTCTTCGTAGCACCTCGGCTTCAATCTCATCTTTGCGTTTCTCTAGCTCTTCAGCTACTCGTTTAGCTACCAATTCTTCCACTCGTTTTGCTACTTCTTCCTCTATGAGTTTTTCTTCTAAAGCTTTCTGACGCCTAAAATATTAAAAATGCAATTAAATATGGCCATAAACACAAACAAAAAGTCATTATGATATAATTAACAGCATATCGCTAATGGTTTTACAAAAGTATTTTAAACACAAAAAACATGAACATTTCAAAAATAAGACATGCAGCTAAGCAGTAAATTCATTTCATAATTCTATCACATTAACTAATTTGGTTAACATAAATAATGAAGTATTTTATCTTGTCAGATTTATCTTCACACACATACTTTACTTTGATGCAATTAAGATCATTTAATTATGTAGCCAAAAAAAATGCTTTATGTAAGCATGGGATAGAATTGCAATCAAATAACCTGTTAAGATAATATGTTCTACATTATGCAGGCATGTCTTCACTGGAAACTCAAAAACTGGTATTAACAACCCCACTGTACTTACTCCAACCGTAACCTTTCCATCTCTGCTTGTTTTTCTTCATCTTCTTTTTTCTTTTCTTCCAATACTTTGGTTGGCGCAAGAACATCAAGATCACTGTCAGAACTGCTTGAGGAGTAAGAGCGTTTTCTGGGGAAAATAAACAAATTAATTTAAATAAAAATAAAATAGTTATCAGTACTGAAATATATATTGTATAAGTAAACCCACTGTCAAATAAATAGTACATTTATGGTTGTTTCTAAGCAAACAATTTGCAAAGCATTTGGAACAAAAGCAACTTGAAAGAGACAAGTAAGAATGTTAACAAAACCAAAAGCTGCAAATTAAGAATAAGGATAAAATTAATCCATGGCTATGTAAAATTTTATTTGCAAGTATTCTTACGGTTCAAACTTACCACAACTGCTAAAATGTTTCCAATATCCAAATTAATATCAAGTCAAAAAGTTGCACCCTTGCCAACTGAACCACCACCAATTCCACAAACCAAGCAAATAATTTTCATTGTAAAGGAATTTTTGATGGGTTTAAACTTTAAAGACTAATGAAAATGACAAGCTACTGGCAATATGAGAAGTAGTACCTCTATAATAAGGGCGCACTTGTACCTTGGACAACAATACCGACACAATACCAGTCGAGTCAAAAGCACACGCGGCTTCATTGTCATGATAAAACAATGAAAATATCAAAGGGATAAAAATTCTCCACACGTTGCACAATGTTCTTCTCAAAACGCATGTATACAACCAGAGCCATAAGTATTTTGATACTTTTCTTAGATAAGAAACAGGCAGAGCCTGACCAAGCCCGCTGACATTGATGTTACCTTGATCGTCTGTCTCGGTCTCTCGACCTCGATCGATGCCTACTCCGTCTCGCCGCTCTATCTCGCGATCGGGACCTCGATCTGTGTTTTTTGTGCTTGCTTTTGTGTCTGTGTCTTGTAGACGACCGACTGCGACTCCTTGAACGACCCATTCTTCGGTAATTCCTGAGAAATTGAAGATTTGGACGAATCTTTTACGGGAGCTACCTCATCTTTCCCATTTCCAAGATGGCGAATGCAGCTGTAGTGGAAGGACAACTCGCGATTGACGTCACATTGCGCTGGGTGATACAGGCTGTCACACCTAGCACAATCAAAATTTTAGGTTCAAGCACTGGTTGTGTGGCGGGTAGCCTTTATCAAGTTAATATCTGCTAAGTTATCAATTAATTATATCTGTCGATTATCATCCAGTTTTAATTTCCTGTAAGTGGTTTTATGGCCCTAAATCATCGACTCATGCAAAATTCAAAAATAAAATGACCTAAAATGTCGTAATGACTGCATACCGTACATGTAGGCCTACCCCCTGTACATGTAGAGCAACACGTCGCAACTAATGCTATACTTTATTTAGATCCAAGACCTAGCACACTAGACAGAGAATATTGACCAACTGCCCATTTGCAACGGTTTACTGAAAGACATGTCTGCCAAACCGAGTGCTTCATGTAGGCCTACATGTAGGACCTACCGTTCTCGGCCAAAGCAACTGATTATTTTAAAAAGCCTGTTTTTAGGTGAGATGACAAGTGTAGCCTATATAAGTCATGGTTCTTCGATATAGAAATAATAAAAAAAGTAAATTAATAAGAGTCTTGCGGGGAACACCCAACATCTGCCTGGCTAAAACTGTTTGAATTTAAGACCAACGTTAAAAGAAGAAAACTGTTTGATCACAGCCACCTACTATCCAGTACATAATGGATGATGGCCTGGATAACGCACCTCTCTACATGTAGTAAGTAGCTGTGGAAAAATTCTAGCAATGCTGGACACAGAACAGAGAATGTGCACAGCTAGTGAATAACCAGAAAAAATTTCTGTGATTTTATAATGAAGATTTTTTTCTCTGTGGGCCTGGTAGAGGGTTAATGAATACTAGGCCTACTGGCCCGTATAGCCAGAATTTTTGAAGTTTTTTTTCTAAAAACGTGAATCTTTTACCATGAAACCTTCCTGAAATTCGTGTACCTAGATAAAAATGTACCCAGGGCGGAACTTTTCTCCGAAAATCGGCGGTTCATTCGAACACCCCACAACCCGAACTCCCTGATTACTGGCCTGCATAAGTTATTAGTTCAATTTGGTAGGTCAGTTGATAAAGGTATGCCTTATGAGACATTTAATTTCATCAGGATGTATGCTTCCTACAGCTAGTTTTAAAACGGTTTTATGCAATTTTTTGCTGAACAGGTCCGATGTTTAGGGCCTACGTAATTTCTAGTATGTTTGTAAATGTTAAGTTGTTTAATCAATGCAGACAATAAGATGACTGAATGATGTTCGCACAGGCAGCCGTTTTTATTTCTTTTTTCTGTTTCATCACCATCTCATTTATTCTTGAAAATAATAATAATAATAATAATAATAATAATAATAATAATAATAATAATAAAAGTAAAGTTGTACATAATGTTGTTGGAAAACCTGATGTTTATTGATGCAGCGGTATAGCGTTTCAGAGTCAAATTAAGGACAGTCATTTACAAATGTTTGACCTGAATCAAGCTCCTAGTTATTGTCATTTGTCCAGTTTCTGTGTTCTGTTTATTCACATTTAAATACATTTCCTTAGCAATGGAAATAATGGTTACTCCTGTCCGTTTTCAGAGATATTAATACGGCACTCTCTGTATATGTCCATTGGATAAAATATTCCTGAAATGTGTCTATTTTCAAGGAAATATCACTTGACCATAGGTCCATTAATGTCTGTTTAGCATTAATGTGGCAATTACAAACGTATTAATGAGTTTTATTTGGACATTTTGCTAAACATAACGAGGTTAGTGTCCTCACTGCTTACGTTAGTGCAAGCGCTTTTAATTTTTTATTAATCTAGATCTCTATCAGTATTGTTGCCACGCATCTGCAGTTTTCTCGAAGTGTTATAATTTGCACTTTATTTCCAGAGACCGTACCGAAATGGCTTTTTTGAGCCTCTTCCCTAGAGAATTACTATTTAGTAATGGCATATATATATTTAAAGTAACGGATGTGAATTCTAATACACAGCCAGGTGAAAAAAGGGCGATTCTTTGGTAATGGTTATGTTTTTAAAAAAGACCTTGCCAATGTACGTGCACGACTGACAAATTACTTAACGACTGCGTGATAAATTTGGCAAATCGGATAGTTCCCACTGGGCTCGTAGGTGTTCATGTACTAGTTAACATCTTAAAACATGACCACAGCTTTTTAGAGTTCTCAATTATATATATTCATGTGTGTGTGTGTGCGTGTGTGTGTGTGTATGTTTGTCAGACCTTGCGGGAGGACATACATGTATCTTCAGAAACACCCACAGAAATCAATCGATTTAGATATAGAATTTCATTCAAATACACCTTAAGCGAAGTGTAAACGAATCCCAGATCACCTATAAGTCTCTGTGATTTTAAAGTGCTTTTTTCAACTTGGGGAGAAAACGTGTCGAGGCTGTTAATCTACTTGGGGAAATGTGGCCTGATTAATGGAACAAAGTATAAAAATTCCATCAAATGGGGCAATCAGGACACGGAAATGGAATTAAAAATGCCAAACTGCCATCTTGTACATTAGGATCTGGAAATAAGGTAATATGGAAAGTGCGAAAATTGGGTAAATGGCCGTGCTTCGATTAAAAAGACAATTACATAATGTGTGGTATTAAATACCCTTGTTTCATGTCTGGGAGTAAGTGGAGAGTAATAGTACTTTTCCCATTACATTACACAGCTGAAAATTCCATACGTGCTTTTTTTTAACAAAAAAGTATGATATTGTATGCATGTGCAAAGTGTTGTGCATTATTTTTGCCCTACCATTTGATATCGACAAGAAATTTTGTGGCAAACATTGCAATTTTAATAAATTCCCTCATGCCCACTGCATTTTCCAGCATAAAACAGACTGTCTACCCAGATCTTAACTAGAGGTTATCCTGCAAATAAAGATATGTTGACATACAGCTTACTTGAAAACGGATCCGAATGTATGGTTTCAAGGTGAATGTTATGATTCATCCAGTTGTGGTTTTAACTAAAATAATGAAAAGTTGAATCTGATACTGGCTCTTACTTGAAACTGGTTCTTGAAGCAAGTAGCACTATACGTTTCTCACAAGGTCTGTCTCAGGTGAGCTGAGCTGTCCCAGTGTCACGTGGTGACAGTCTCCTTGGGATTTCTCCCAGGGCCAGGTGTGACAAAACTGAGGGACCGTGTAACACAAAGTCCACCCTCCATATAGCAATAATGGTTAGGGTTATAGCCTGAAGTAAGTAGGTCAAATCTGGGGCGAGGCTTAATCTATGCAAATCAATGAGAACAGGGCTCTCTAACATGGGAGTCTCTCTGTCATGTCACACCGGTCCCAAAAAATGTGGTATTTGGTATTTCAGACCCCCGTGCTTGTGGGTAGAATGCTCAAGGAAATAGTGTCCAATGGTGTTAGGTGTATAAGGATAGTGAATTCAAAGATGCATATTCGAGGGAAACAAAACAGCATCTACAAAGCAGAATGTGCCAGTACCAACACAGACGCCCTGGTCCAGGTGAAAATATGATTTTGCAGTATTCATCCACCTGCAAAACGCCGGCCACATATTTGACACGAAACACGTCCAAATCCTCGACAAAGAGGAGGAGTGGATCAGACAATCCAGAGGAGTAGAAGAGGCCGTCCATGAGCAGATTGAACAGCCTACCAAGCCTACCAAAAATGAAGTAATTTTCCAATATAATGATATAGTAGGCACCTTATCGGGATGGACGATAAATAACCTCGAGCAGGTCTTCTCGGCGACATATATCGTTATACAAATTGCCCGTTTCGAGGTGAGAATTGCCCTGGGATAACGCGCAACACGATTGTTATGTGGGAAGAGGGTCGTAAAAGAGCTTTCTGTTTAATTGGACGTACTTGTGCGGATGGCGGTGATAGATAATGGCATGGCACTGTGGCTAATGGTCACGTTAATCACATGTTTAATTTACCTAGTTATTGGCAGAGCTTATACGTTGTAAGTGGGCATGGCTTTGCCTGGTGTCCTTAAAACCCCAGTGGATTGGGAATTTATTGAAATGTCAAGCCTACACGACATACTACAGTACAAGTAGAAGGTGCAAATCGAATGGCACAACAAAAATTGATTGGTTAGAGGTCACCAAAGAAATGCGTTAATTCAATATGAATAATTTTATTTGATAAGTTTGATGCACCACTGAGATTGTTCTATTATGATGGTACATCTTTTTCCATTCTTCCATCGGTGCAGCTCTTAACTCTATGATAGTATCAGGCTTTGGTGGCGGTAATGAAGTCGTCTGCCCAATTCATCCCAGGCACGCTTAATGGGAGACATGTCTGGTCTAAGCGCTGGCCACGGGAGAGTCTGGATCTGCTCCTGAAGCAGGTACGCCTATGCTATCCTGGCAGTATGGTCACGGGCGTTGTCCTGCTGAAGCAAGCTTTGAGTTGGGTATTGATGCAAGAATGGAACAACACCTGTTCTTAGTACTTCATCTCTGTATCACTGGACAGTCAAATTTCCACCAATAACTGCAATCACCATGATTTCTGTCTGGAAATTGCCATTTATGCCTGCCCAAACCATAACACTGTGCCAATGGAAACACCGAAACGCACCTACCCCGGTAAATTGGAACACCATGTGGAAGTATGGCGATCTTATAATAAAAGCAATTTTAAATATATTTTGTCCCACTATAGTAAGTTTTTCCTCGCACGCTCTTTCAAATAATAAATATAAAACTGAATTGATTATACTGGTTACTTCTGGGACAGCGACGTTCGAAAACGGCATCTCTTGAAAATGGACTGAAGTCTCGTCATTGAATAATGTATTTTATGCAATGTGGGCGAAGCCACAGGCTTTTATGTAATGTGTATAAATCGGAACGTTAATGAACACAAAATGTGGAAATGTGAAGATAAAAGTCCTTCAATTAATGCATTTTTGGATTAACAGCAAATGTGATTCATAGCAGAAAAAAAACTGATTTATCTTTTTCCCAGTTGGAAAACAAAGTGTATTCCAATGGCGCCGTCTGGTTTTGCTCGCCTAGGCCCTCAGTGGCTGTTTTTAAAGCCTGTCATCCCGGGAATGAGGTGAACTTTGTTGGCACGTTCAGTTTGTGATGCTGCTCTGTAAGACTTTCAGCATAAATTTCCACAAAACACGAGATTCTGCATCAAGGTAAGTCATCCATGTGCTAGCTAGGTTACCTTTTTTGGAGACAAGTGTTTTCACATAAGGTACTTAACTCTTGCTTTTTTCATGTATTCTAACAGAAAGCGATTTTTGCCCAACGCTATGCATGTAAAAGTTCTTATTCATTTCATTTTTCTCTCTCTCTCTCTCTCTCTCTCTCTCTCTCTCTCCCTCTCTCTCTCTCTCTCTGTGCTTGACAGTCTGATAACTTTCTCTTTTGTTCATCTGTCAGTGTGTCTGTTAAGTTTGTCCTTAGGTTTCTTCATTCCCCGCTTAGTTTGCATTTGTAGTCGTTTTTCAACTATGCATCAGCGGTCAGTATATTGCCTCTACTATTCACTTGTCTGTCTGTCTGTCTGTCGGTTTGTCTGTGACGGTCTTACTGTCTATTGAGGTTAAAGTGATCTCACATGACAAATTGTCGAATTCGAGCTTGTTATCAACAAAATTAAATGGACTTGCTGTTTGCTTATGAGGATTGATTACAGTCCACGCTTTTACCTCCTGCTAGTGGTATGGTAAAATTCGAGGAGCTAATATTTGCTCCCTATGCAGAAACAGATAGTTTGATGATGCAATTACCTGAAGTAAGAGGTACTTCAAAGCATAAAAGTGTAGGCCGCTGACGCACGTGCTTTATTATACTTTTTTTCCAAAATCAAATATTGAACTGGTCCGTTGTTGCTATGACGCATGTCTGTACTTTAAATTAATATCTGATGAAGCACACCGATACATCACGTATTTATAGAGAAATTGTATGACAGTCTTAATAATGTGGTTGTGGAAAGCCTGATGGTCAAACCACTAATTATGCTACGAAATACTCGACTATCAACCAGTGGCTTTATTGGCAGCAGGTTTCATATTTTTCTTCAGGTTTGGATTTGACAGCAATTCTTTCAATACGATCTATAATCTAATGCATGGATGTAACGGTACATTACAAGTACCCCACTGTCTAAGCCTCAATCAAATCTTGAAATTACTTTTTCTTTAATTAATTTACACCGGTATTCTACTGTACTTGTCTTGACGTATGACAGGCAAAACCAGCCGATTTCGATGCCACTTAGACGTTCTTTAAACATTTCAACCACTGTAATTTTCATGTGGTGCCATTAATTTGTTAAACAAAAGATAAGCGAATTTGACTTGCATTTTGAGGTAATTTTATTATCAAATTACGGCACAAAGGATGTTTAGATGGGGAACGATTCCATTGTTTGACAAAGGCACCATTTTCATGGATACACCCGTGGTATTGTTTACCACAGTTCTCCTGGCTGACCCAAATGTATTTGAAAGTCTACATCATACAATTTGTAACAGCCATAACACTTCTATTAGAGAATAAGTCCATGGTAGCAATTTATATGCAGGCGTTATAATGCATTATATTCTAACCCCTCATTTAGACAGCTTGGAGGGGTGTAATTCATAGCACATACATTCAGAACAATTTGATCCGCGGACTAACAGATTCGCGGACTAAATTTGGCCGACCCACTTAGAGGCGATGCCGTTAATCTCCTGATGGTCTCCCCGCAGCCTCGCTGCAGGGGCTATAGCAATTAAACATCGGAGTCGAGATTAAATCCGTTTAATGGCGCGTGTGAAGGCGGGGAGAGCATCAGTGGATTAAGCGACTTTATTTTAAGCGGGGCTGGCCATATAAAGTGGTGGATCATTTACACCGGGGATCATCTGTTCTAAATACCCTCCATTGCCACTGGTTTCACCAATATTGTATCTAGTTGGCTTTAAAACTCTAAAATTGGTTTAGACATAACTTATTCACTCCCGTATTGAGCGCTCTGTTATACTGTATCACTTTTTACACTCTTCATTATCAGTATAAAACGTTTAACATATTGATACAGTACACAGTACACTCCACATTCCTAATCACCATTTAGCTTGAATTATCGTTTATTTTGAACACTTGAATACTTTTATTTTATTTGGTATTGGCAGAAAAGTAGTTCGAGTCTAACTCAAGTCTATGCGTACTATAGAAGCAGGAGGAAATATCCGGGTCACAACTATTTCCGTATTATGTGGAGTCTACGGAATTTTTCTCATTTTACCACAATTAACAATATTTATTTTTTTCTCGTACACTGTAGCAAATGCTTGGGTCTATGATAAGTTGACTATCGGAACTCACATGACATAGTACAACACGAATCTGCCAATAGCCAATTCTGAGCAGTAGCAGGCTATTTGTCATAATATTTCATTATCTTTTACTTAGCTGTCTTGACAGCCCATTACTGCTATTGTGTAAATAGGGTTCAGGACCAGGTTAGAGCATATAGAATGGAGTAATGGAGTTTGAATTTATAGACTTTCATCCTTGATATTGTATGATTGATTTAAAGTCAACACTATAAACATTAGACCTGCCAACTCTCCCTAACTCGTCGGCCTCGAGTCTCTCGATTTTGGGACATTTCTCCCGATCTCCCGATTCAGACTAAAATTCTCCCGATTTATCAGACTTTTCTCTCTTTAATTCCTTTCGTTAGAAAATGATGTGATTTCATATAAGTAAATGTGCCGTCACAATTGCTTTCTTTGTTTCATGATGGGGGTTAGTAAATGCAGTAAACAATAAGGAACAAATGAAAAAAAAAACACGTCCGGTCATTTTGTGAGCACCATCCTTAATACTAAGTATGGGACGAAGCTTATTCCGAAAGACAAAGAGATACCAATCATTTTAACTGCGGGCATTTTTTTTTTTTTTTTTTTTTTTTGTAATAAAAGCTTTCACAAGAAGACTTCCTCATTTAAATGTACGCCACTTGACCCAGCCGAAAAAAGAAAGCAGACTTTCTCCCGAACCCCCTGGCTACGTGCCTGCTTAGCCATAATACATTCGATATTTTTTCGTATTTTGCCAAGTTTTAGTAGCTGCTTGAACATCAAAACAATAGATTCGCGTTGCATTGTGGGTTCTTAACTCTTAATGGCTTTGCGAAGCGGGAAGCTTGAGGTCGGTTAAAGTTGTGAAAGAAGATCTAAAACGTCGAAAGGTAAAATATAGTGTATTTGCAAGTTTCAAGAAGAGCCTGATGTGTGGCTTGGCCTATTGTTGCAATCAAAAGAATGGCAAGTTTGTTAGGTGTAGGTTGTATCATTGCTCGTGGAGAAAAAGGTGGCAGTAGGAAAAATGCAGCTCTGGAAAATCAACAGGTAAAGCGTCAACGGTACAAAAGAAGCTCAAGTTAAAATTTGTTCCAAAGGAATCTACGTAGAGTGACAGTTTGCCATTTAAGATCTACACAAAGTGTCTGCGATGAATTTTCAGATTAAATTGCCAACTTGCACGAAATATTGCACTTTTATTTTACGTTTTCGTTTATGCACCAGAGACCTATTTGTGTGACCACCTAGAATGTATATCAGAAAACATGAAACAGAATGATCGTGCTTATTGCCGACCCGCCCTCAAAGATAATGGGTTGAAGAGTAGTTTACATTACGATTTAAAGACAGTACGATAATTTGACTTTTCAATTCAAGAAAAATTGAATTTTCATGAAGTTAGATAATTGGGACTCTAACAGAAACCTCAAAAATATTTGAAAAAATATCCCAATAACGTAAAAAGTTAGGCTGACGACGTGAGTGTCACCTCTACTAGTACTAAGAGAAGTGATAACATGTTAAACTGATTGCATTCAGCGAAAGTACCAGCTGAGTCGGATCAATCTACGTAGACCGACAGTTTCAATGTGAATGATCCCTTAGCATGATATAGGAACATTTTCGTAATGTCCCGTGTCCTGATTGTCTGCCTTATTTTCATATATAGACTATGGGCAACATCAGACTAAATGTGACATTAAACATCATAAGTATGATTAGAAACTAATTGGTAATGCCAAAATGCCTATTTTCACACTTGGAAATGTTCACCAGAATATATTAACACGATCATAATCTTACGTGTAACAACCATGATGTAACGTTCCTTGCACATACTGTAGTATAGATAATGTTATTAATCTATATTTTCCCCAACCTTACCTTCTATTACACTGTGCTCGAAAAAAGATACGGGATACAACTTTTTTTCAAACGCAAGCTTGTTGAACGGTAACTTCAGTATTTCACCCGCATGTTCTTTATCAAAGGTTTGAAATGTTCACTTACATTGTTCTCACTACCTGTACTCGCACAAAAATATACAGTTATGCTGCACATTAGTGATACATTTATTTATATTAGGAACTAGGTCTACGAGCCTGTGGTGATGAAATAAAAACCTTAATAGTACACTTCAAATCAACCTCATCAAGACCAAGGTTTAGGGTATGATTTATGCATCGGTTTCACTAAAACACAATCTTGGCGAATGATTTTTTTTATGGAACGACTAGAATTTGCTCACAAAATCAAACACTTTTTGAATACAGGCCCTGTCGAGGAAAAATTAGAAAAAATTTTCCAAGTATTCATATTTCCTGTTACTTTTCGCTGGCATTTTCACCACGATGTATTTGTTACTCTTGGTGAACGAAATTTGGCCCGTTATTATCATCGTAAAATAGGCCAAAATTAGTTCTCCAGGCGGTCGCAAACCCGGTGTAACATGTTTTTGCATTTTTTTTTAAATTTCAGTTTAAGGAAGGTAAACTAGGATATCTTGTCTGTGAATTATGTGAACGTCACAAAATTTCGAACTTTTGAAAAACTGTTCCCCGTTTTACTCAAAACCTGAAAGGATACAATTAATTGCGACTGAATTACGTTATGAATTTTTATTGACAAAATGAATTTACTCCAGGGGAACACCAAGAAAAATAATAATATAATATAATAATAATAATATATTTATTTCAAGTCTAAAATCCATAAAATGTTCAATAGACTGTACAACATAAAATACAAAGAAGTTTATAGATAAAAATGGTAAAGATATATTTTATATAAATAAGAGCTAAGCTAAATTGTAATAAACAGTAATTAAAAGTAAAAAATCCAAGGTTTCTTAAAATTGTAAAATTTAAAATTCATGAATAAAATGTCTTAAAAATATGAGTTTTTAATTCCTTTTTAAAAGATTCTTGTGATTCTATTTGTCTAATAAAAATTGGCAACTTATTCTACTCTACTGGTGCAGCTACACAAAATGATGCAACCAACTCCGCCCTTTTTACGTAAACCATAAAGCAAAACAAAAAAGAACGACGACATGTCGTGCACAATGTAATATGAATTCTTATTGTTCCTTTCTTTCTAGGGTTGAGAAAAATTCGAGCATATCGACTGCCATATACACAGCGTGTCCAAGGACATATTGCCTGCCGTCATGGACAACAATGGCTCCGTAATAGCGCTAACGGTACAAGATAATAATGCATCACACGTTGACAACGTCACCAACGATAACTGTACGTCAAGCGTTAATTACGCTGCCACCGCCTTTTATATGGACACCGTCGTTGTCGGCACACTATGTGTAATAGGTTACGTCGGGAACGTCCTGTCTTTCGTGGTGTTTTGGCCGGAACGCAAAAAATGCACTTCGTTCTATCTTCTCCTTGCTCTGGCCGTGGCAGACATCCTTTACCTTACCCATTGTCTTCTATTCCAATCCTTCCGCTCTATCTACGACTACACAGGCCTGTTTAAGGAATACAAGGACGCTTGGCCGTACATGGAGCCGTGGGAGTACCCGTTTGGGATGATGGCGCAGACGTTGGGACTTTGGTTTGTGGTTCTGGTGGCAGTGGATCGATACATAGGCGTCTGTTGGCCCTTTAAAGCCGTTTCGTGGTGCACGAATACGCGGACGTGTGTAATGATCGTCGTCACAGCCATTGGTGCAGTTTTGGTCAACCTGCCATGGTTCTGGAGGCAGAGGACGGTTGAGCAGTTTGACCCATGTACAAGGGAAATGGAACCGGTTCTCGTCCATTACGGTATCGGAGAGACACAGCTGGGCCGCACTCTCCATACTGGGACCCAGATTGCCCTGGCCTTCCTGCTCCCTTTGGCAGCGCTGTTCTTCTTCAACCTGCGCCTTATCGTGTCCCTGAGGCAGGGCTCAAAGCGAAGGGACCAGCTCCAGAAAGGATTTGGGTCGGACGCCGCGGCTTCTGCCGAAGACACCCAAATCACGATCATGCTAGTCGCGGTTCTGGTGGTGTATATCGTGTGCGAGCTGCCGGTTTTTACAAATCACGTTTTGTACGCCACTGTCGGATATCTCGGCGTAAGTCACTCGCACTTTAACGTCGCGTGCAACATGTTGGCCACTTTAAACTGTTCCTGTAATTTCTTCATTTACTGCGTGTTCAGGGCAAGCTTCCGGAGGCGGATACAGCACATGTGCTGTGCTTCTCAATATGGCGACTCTTGTCCAAGTTGTGAAACTGAACCGTCCAATTTGTGAATATAGGCATGAATACGTGTTATGCTATGAAGAATGGAGTCTCTTTGGAAGATATACGACTTGGCTGCTTGTTTATGATTGCCTCACATCATTTAACAGTTAGGAAGTTTGCCCTGAAGAAACAATTTGATCAGAAACTTCATCGTGATGCTCTGACCAACACTCTGTGTAGTTTACACATGTACTTTAAAGATAACTTCATTTATCAAGGAATTCACAGTAAGGAGCGACTTTGTAGAGGGCTTGCGAATTTGAGTAAAGTCCCCTGTACGCAATTTTGAGGAAGTTAATCAATTGTCTGTGTCGGACGCGGGAGTCCATAAAGGTGACCCTTTTACGGAATAATTAAGTTGTCCGTCTCTCAGAGCATACCGGTACGGCGTGAAGCTAGGATACAAAGTTCGATGTACAAAGTTCAATTCAGTACATGACAGTTTTGAGACGGGAGCGATGACGTGGTAGTGGGCATAGGACTGATATAGTACCGCAAGCAAAAAAAAAAAAAAAAAAAAAAAAAAACATTCTTACTGGCCGAGTGATATATGGCCTCGAGAAGATGCAGGGTTTTCGAAAACTGTTTACATATGTGTTATACAGGGATATATATATGGTTGAATTTCTGCATGCTGACTTTTCAAATACTAATATGAAGTGTGTTTTGTCGTTTTCGAACTAAGTGAGTTCCGGACATTGAATAAGAAAATGAAAAAGAAAAAAGGAAACTGGCCAATACTTGTCCTATAAAATTGAGTGTCCTATAAGATTAAATGTTGTCAGATTTCTTCATACAGGCATTAAGTATTAAACATTCTGATATGATAAGTGGTAGAACCAATTGCGCGTTATCTAATATGCATGTACATGCAACGTAAAGTATATACAAACATGTAACATGTGCAGTCAATTAATACCCATAAGAAACCCCCTGTGCAAAGTACAGTGGTTTATAACACTGATACATGAAGTTTCTGGGAGCAGGGGGGGGGGGGGGCTCTAGACAA